GGTTTTTACAGTTCTTCACTTTTATTGGGGTGAGCAGGGGCTGTTCAGAGATGGGGCCAGATGTGCCAGTGGGGCACGTGGTATGAGGGGCTCTGCCGAGCCAGGAGGACCTGCCACAGGACCTGATGGACATGAAAACTTGACACTTGTGTATCTTAGGCTGCTCTATAACCAAGGAAATTGTCTGTGTAGATATAGAAATGATTAATATACATGTCTCGTGCCTATGGGTATTGTCAGCGTACAGCGTGTGTAGCTGCCTGGTGGAAGAGCTGGTGCTGCACCTGAATCATGTATCTTACTGTAATCAATAAATACGATCTATTTTTTACGTGAAAAGGCTCTGGGAGGTGAGATGGGGGTTTTTCTTCCCAGGGTAGGTGTGAAACTGCCAGGCATGGCCTGGGCCAGGCATGGAGCAGGTCTGGGGGTCTCCAAAGGGGACCCCGCCGTGCTGGGCTGGATGGGGCAGTGGTGTAGCATTAATGCCAGTGGACATGCTACAACTTTTTGGACTCATCTCTTTTTTTTTTTTTTTGCTCTTTTTTCTCTTCATTTTGCAAATACCACCCAAGTACAAGGGCTTGGGGAGGAGGGGGCATCCATGGGAGAGCCCAGCAGCAGCCAGGGTCTGACCCTGTGCTTTTCCCACCACACACAGCAGCACGCAAGACTCCTCCCTCTGCTGAAGGCTTCTAATAAAAGCGTTTCAGCTTTGCTGCTCTGATAATTGTAATTTTTCTTCCGAATGCATGTGTGCAAGTAGGTTGTGAGCAGAGCCTTTATCGGCTCGCTGGGCTTGGCTGTCCTCTCTGCCCCACCAAAGCCGCTTGGCTGCATCTTGGGACCCAGCAGCCTGGTTTATGCTGAAAGTGGGGCTGCAGCTGAAGAAAGAGCCCGGTGTGTGCTGATGGCGGCAGCGGGGTGGATGCCGAGCTGTTGCTCATCTGCCCGAGAGATCAAAGCAGCAAAAGCCAGCCCACGCTTGGAGACGCGGCGCTGAGCCAGCATCGCTGCAGCTTGGCTTATCTTCACGCTGCTGAATAATTCCTGCCATTGCAGTGTGTCATCAATGAGGCTGTTGGGGAAATCAGTGCTAAAAAATGTTAATCTATTGAAGCTGTGGCAGAGAAGTGTCCTTAAAGTACACAGACTGATGGGGAATGGGGTCCCTGGAGAGGGATGCGAGGCCACCCAGGGTGGGACGAGTGGCTGAGCACAGGCAGCTCCTGGTGGTCGGGATATTTCTGACCATGGAGAGTCACCGTGGCCGGATCCACAGCTATCCTTTCTTCCAAGGGTTGAGCGTTGCGGGGCTGCACCTGTTCCATGAAATCACTTTGCTGAGTCTGCCCCTTCCCAGGTGTCTCCCATCTCCTCCATTGCCCTTGCCCTCCCCTCCCCTGCCCTGCGCTGCCAGCCAAGGCGACCCCGGCGAGTTAGAAGTCAAAAAGTCTAAAGGAAAATATCATGATTGTTATTTGTGCTGGTGCTGACACAGGGAAGAATAATGTGAGTTTGCTTTATGGGAAAAAGCAGTGCATGTCGCTGAGAAACTGTGGCACCCTTGGAGCAAGGGTGGGAAGCGCGCAGGGTCACAGCCTGGCCACCCCTCAGAAACCTGCCCAGACCCCAGGCCAGCAGCAGTGCTGGGTCCCTGCTGTGGTATCACTCATGCCAAGGCTCGTGCCATTGTGTTCCTCTGAAAATGCCAGAGTGGTGGTAGAAATGGGGGTTTATGAGCAGGAAACAGGGGCAGAGCAGAAGAACCCTGTCTTTGCATTTGGCCATAAGAAAATGCTGCTCACCCAGCAAGCCTATTCTTCTCAATGTCCCATCAGCACGCAGGGGGATGAGCCTGCTGTGGGGACCTGGCTTCATTTACAGTTTTATTAAAAATAGCTGCAGGGAGCTGCAAAACTCATAAGTCCATCTGGGCAGAGGAAAGCTGAGCTGGGGAACTGTAAAGGTGCAGCCGAGTGCTGCATCCCCTGGCTTCAATTTGGGATTGAGCCCAGCTGCGCTGGGTAAGGGGGCTGGGGTGGGAGCTCTGGCCCTGCCAGGTGATGCTCATTCTGCAGCCAGTGGTTCAGGCAGGAGGGAGGTTGCTGTGCTGTCCCCTGCTCAGCCTCTCTGCACGAGGAGATCCCCCTGAGTGAGCAGGTAGGGTGCTGTGGCATCCCTGGGGTGTTTCGGGGAGTGGGGTGAGTCCCTGGCTTGGGACACGGAGCTGGTGGCGGGATATGTGGCTGGAGGTGCCGGGGTGGCATAAATGTGTGGGCAGACTTGGGGTTTGGAGCAGCGTGCTGTGGGCTGTACTGGTGGGTTCCCTTCTGCTGCTCCAGCCCAGAGGCAGCCCCATTCCTGGGGCTGGTGGAGATGCTGCTGTGCTCTGTCTGCAAAGTGCTTTAGGGTTGTAGGGTGACTGAGGCTGGCAGGGACCTTCTCCAGTGTGAAGCAACTCTTGGAATTACAAAAAAAACGCTCTTTTTACTTTCCCATCTCCCCCAGGATCTCTCCTGTGTTTCTCTACACAGCTGATGTCTGAGCCTAGAAGCGCTGTGCCCAAATTAACGTGCAGGGATTGTGCTCTTTTAGAATGAAAGTGTCAAAAGGGATTTATAAAGTAAAACCAAACAGCTGAAATATCAGTCCTAATCCAGGCAGGGACTGGAGGGTGAATTCCCTTGCAAACCTCGGGGTAACTCAGCTCCTGGGCCAGCCGGCTGTGGGGCTGGTTGCAGTTTCATCTGGGCTGTTCAGTGAGACTGTCCCTGTCTGTCCCAAATGCCATCCCCTTCCCTGATTTTGGCCCCCAGGAGGGGATGTGAGTAGCAGTTTTTTTTCACATCAGAGTGTTGTCGGAGCTAAGCATCTCTATTCTGGCATCTCAAGCCTCCTGGTGTTTGTGCTTTTTCTTGAGTGCCTTCCCCCAGTTCCCCACTAAGGCACCCAGCAGTCGAGTGAAAGCCCAAATGTTTAGGCTTGGGTCAGGAAGCGCCAGGGGAGTGGTTTCTGGGATAGGGTTGGTGGGAAGAGTGGTAATGATGATGTTGGGGACAGCGGGCTGTGGGGGTGTGGTGGGTGTTTAAGACTCTGAGATCCCTCTTCGGTGGTGCCTGGGAGCGCTGCTGCATGGATGGGTCCTTCTGAACCTCCCAGACACAACCCTGGTGTGTTCCCAGTGCTGCTGCGGCAAAAATGCAGTGAGAGCATTTCAAGAAATTACTTCTATTTTGGCTTGAGGAGAATGAGCAAACTGGAGATTTCACGTTTCTTTGTTCTTCGGAGCAATAGATGCAGACCAGGTAAACTGGGGCTGCATGAATCGACTGTTGGTGCGTGGCTGCCATGGGAGGAGAACCTGGCTCCTCCTTGGCTGGGAGGAGGTCTGGGGAGTCTGAAGGAAACCTCTGTGTGCACCCACCTCCTGCACCAGAGC